CCTTGAACGAAGCTAATGGGAATAAATCCTGGTCACAAAATGACTGTGCACCATAGCGAAATGAACCCAATAAGGGCGCCCTTGCGATGAAACTTCACAGTGTGCAAAAATGAGGGACAAATTGTCAACAAAAAGTCAAACAGCATGTCACAGGCAGGCAGCCTGGCAGTCAGGGGGTGGTTAAAAGGTTGCAAAGATGGAACTTTGAGAAAAACCAGTTTTGGTGGCTGTGCAGTTGGTAACACAGTAGATATGTAGCTTTGTGGAGAATCTGTAATAGAATAAGCTTACAGAGAGGAATGTTACTGTGAGAAGGTGTCAGGGAGGTTGAGAGTGCATGTCTCAGAGCAGACAAAGGTGCTACTTGGGGTTTTGATGCCACAGTCTAAGTGGAACCCTTGATTGCAGCCAGGAGTGGCACAATCACCAATATGTACCCTGGTGTTGCAGAGGGACAGGCAACAGGATTGGCAGAAGTTGAGCTGTGGCTGTGCCTTTGATGAACAAGTCAGGAGTGCATGGGCACAACTGCTGGAGATGGAGGCTGGACAACAAGGTCAACAGCATGTATTGGTTGGTGCCCTAGGGTCAACAACATCTTCCTCTTTGTCATCAGCAACACAGAAGCAAAAGGCCCTTGGGTTTTGGATACCAAACCATATGTTGTTGGCACTTTTTGCTTAGCACAAAATCAACTATCTATACAAAAAAGGCCACCATTTGGCTGTTTTTCATGAGGTTGGTGTACAAATCAAGGGGGTGAGATGGGTGGTGAGATAGGTCTGTCTGCTTCAGGCCCTGTGAGACATCAACCCCATAGGTCATGAACAACATGGTGGCTGCAGAGCACCAGGACACTCTTCATCTTGTGACAGGCGGAGTGAGATCTCTTGGGTGATGAGATAGCAGTGTCCATTGTGGTTTGTGTTTGTTTTGTAGTTGCTGACCAATGGGTGAGCGTGTCTGCGTCAGTCAGCCCCCTTAATATAATTAATTATTGACTGAAACTCGTTGGGCATGTTTGACCTTGTGCTTGCATTGGACAACTCGTCGTTTTCGTTTAGGTCCGAAATTGCCGCAACAGGCACCACACCCCTTGTGTCACTTCCTTTCTCTCGTTCGTAAGCAAGGTACACACAACCCCACTGGCCAACATTGAGTCTTCCTGTCGCAATAAAAAGTGGCAGTCCGTTAGTAACGCTTATCCGCCAGTGAAAATGATTCGTGCGTCCCTCATCTTCGCTGCGGTTCTGTTTGCCCTCGCGGCTTGTGCCCCTCATGCCGACGCCACCTACGGCGTTGACGTCTCCTCCGTACCGTCTCCTCCCACTATTATGATTTTTATTCTCAATTTTATTTCTCGTGAGATTATTATTAGTTTTAACCTCCTTTTACAACAGTCGGTGTCGCCTGCCGCGTGGACGTGCCTCCGCAACAACGGCTTCAGCTTCGGCGTCGTGCGTGCCTACGAGGCCGTCGGTCTGCCTGACTCCCGCGCTGCCTCCACCGGTAGGTCTTCCGCACCTTTGCTTTCATAAATTTTAACTCCGATTCCCTTGTGTTACAAAACTCCTTTCAGTGGCGAACGCGTGGGCGGGCGGCATGTCGCACGTCGACGTCTACATGTTCCCGTGCCCGCACTGCGGCAAGTCGGCCTCGACTCAGGTCGACGAGCTCGTGAGCTACCTGCGCTCCCACGGCGTCAAGTTCGGCATGATCTGGTTCGATATCGAGGGTCCGCAGTACTGGCGCGACCAGGGCTTCAACCGGTACGCAATCCAACGTTCCTTCACCTAACGCGTGTGCGTACGTAGTCAGCTGACATTCAGTTGTTGTGCAGGGCGTTCTTGTCGGAGGCCATCAACAAGGCGTTGGCCTATGGCGAGAGGATCGGCATCTACACGTCGGCTTCGCAGTGGGAGCCCATCATGGGCAACTGGGCCGGTGGCGCTCGCTTCCCCCTGTGGTAGTACGTGGTCCCGCCCATCTCGCATCCACCCCTCTAGCGCCCTGCCCCGACCCTAGTGTGCACCACCATTGCGTGTCGAATCTGACCAAACCACCCAACTCTTCTTCACAGCGCGCACTACGACAACAACCCCTCGTTCAGCGACTTCAGGTCGTTCGGCGGCTGGTCCAGGCCCGCCATCAAGCAGTACCACGGCACCGCCTACGAGTGCGGCGCCGGCATTGACAAGAACTGGTACTAAGCGCAGTGAGCTCGATCGAGTCTCCTTCATGTCCACAAAGAAGACCACAACCACAATAAATGTGTCCCTCACCGGTCGTGTGAGCGAGACCGAAAGAGGAGGGATGTGACATGTTTGAAGGCCGTGAGGGGGGTTTGGCCAACCGGATGTCAGGTTGTGGTTGGTCGATGCGCTGGTTGGCCAACCGTGCGAAGAACCTCCACGCCAAGTTCTACTCGCCCCTCATTGGCTGCCCTAGAGAAACAAAAAGAGCAACACCGAAGGTTGACTCTTCATTCTTTGCGACCACCCCCCAACTTGTCAAGCCAGAATGACCAGCGCGTGGTCACTACCCCTCCTCGTCGCGGCCGTCCTCCTGGCCATCGCCTGCGGTGCCCACAAGGCCGATGCCACCTACGGCGTCGACGTCTCCTCCGTACCTCACCTTTTCATTCATTTTGTTAATCACTTATTATTCGCTTATTATTGGCCTATTACTTATAATTTTCATTTCCATTATTATTATTTACTTATTTACATTTTCCTTCATTGCCCCCAATTTTTTGAAGCTTGAGAGTGACCACCTGCGCCACTGCAGTCGGTGACGCCTGCCGGGTGGACGTGCCTCCGCAACAACGGCTTCAGCTTCGGTATCGTGCGTGCCTACGAGTCCATCGGTCAGCCTGACTCGCGTGCGGCCGCGACCGTGGCGAACGCGTGGGCGGGCGGCATGGCGCACGTCGACGTCTACATGTTCCCGTGCCCGACCTGCGGCAAGTCTGCCTCGAACCAGGTCGACGAGCTCGTGAGCTACCTGCGCTCCAACGGCGTGAGGTACGGCATGGTGTGGTTCGACATCGAGGGTCCGCAGTACTGGCGCGACCAGGGCTTCAACAGGTACGCACTTAGTTGATGGCCACGACTTGATGACTTTGTGTATGATACTCACCTGTGGAGTGTTGCGCAGGGCGTTCTTGTCGGAGGCCATCAACAGGGCGCTGGGCTATGGCATCAACATCGGCATCTACACGTCGGCTTCGCAGTGGAACCCCATCATGGGCAACTGGGCCGGTGGCGCTCGCTTCCCCCTGTGGTAGTACGTGGGCCCCTCTGGTTGCCAATTTTTCTGCCGTGTCGTGTGCGCTGCGGTGTGCGCTGACATTCAATGGTGTGTTGGGCAACACAGCGCGCACTACGATGGCAGCGCCTCGTTCGGCGACTTCGGCTCGTTCGGCGGCTGGTCCAGGCCCGCCATCAAGCAGTACGTCGGCGACGCCTCCGAGTGCGGTGTCGGCATTGACAAGAATTGGTACCCTTGAACTAAAGACGCTTGGCCATGAACATGCGGCAGTCCCAATAAATGCTACTCACCTTCACATTGGCGCTGACGGGCCTTGTCTGGAGGAACTCTCGGCGGAATGCTCCGGGCCGAGGAGGAGGTCGAAGAGGTCGGCCATCTGCCAAACGTGTCCACGCGTTGGCTAACGAGCCAGTTCGCCGAGCCTTCCTTGGCCATTTCCGCCCTCTTTTAAAGTGACGGAGGTAAACTCCAATCACTCACAACAAGCACTACCAACCTGTCAAGCAAGGATGACCGGCGCGCGGTCACTACCCCTTCTCGTTGCGGCCGTCCTCCTGGCCTTCGCCTGCGGTGCCCACAAGGCCGATGCCACCTACGGCGTCGACGTCTCCTCCGTACCCCATCCCTTCACCTGGACGTGTTTGGTAAATGATGCCCAACCTCACACTCTTCCCGCACTGCCAGTCGGTCAGTACGGCGGGGTGGTCGTGCCTCCACCAAAATGGCTTCAGCTTCGGTATCGTGCGTGCCTACCAGTCGTTTGGTCAGCCCGACTCGCGTGCTGCGGCCTCGGTGGCGAACGCGTGGGCGGGCGGCATGGCCCACGTCGACGTCTACATGTTCCCGTGCCCCCGCTGCGGCAAGTCGGCTTCTACTCAAGTAGACGAGCTCGTCCACTACCTGCGCTCCAACGGAGTTAGATACGGCATGGTGTGGCTCGACATCGAAGGCGCCGGCTACTGGCGCGACCAGGGCTTCAACCGGTACGGATTCCTCAGCAATGCATGCAGCGCGTGTAGTTTCATGTGATGCTCATCGAACGGGTGTGAGTAGGGGCTTCTTGTCGGAGGCCATCAACAGGGCGCTGGGCCACGGTCTCCACATCGGCATCTACACGTCGGCTTCGCAGTGGAACCCCATCATGGGCAACTGGGCCGGCGCCGCTCGCTTCCCCCTGTGGTAGTACGTGGCACCCTTCCAACTCAGTGCATTTGTGTGCGAGCTGACATCGTGCAATGATCATGGGCAACACAGCGCGCACTACGACAACAGCCCCTCGTTCAGCGACTTCAGGTCGTTCGGCGGCTGGACCAGGCCCGCCATCAAGCAGTATGTGGGTGACGCTTCCTTGTGCGGCATCGGCGTCGATAAGAACTGGTACCCGTGAACAAGCGGCGGAACATGCAGCGGAGCAAACTCCCAAACTGCGTGACTGCTGACGTGGCGCTGGAAAAGGAGTTTTTTAACAAAATACGGAAAGACACAAAAAATAAAACCCAACACGTAGCATGGGCGCCCACACGAGCCCCATCCAAGATCTCAATGTTTTCTTCATGGCCTTCCTCTTTGGCCTGTGCATCTACCTGGGGCGAAGTTACATTCTGAATGCCATTCGAACGCGGCCGATCTTTCGATCAATTCGCCCTCTCCTTTCGCATCGGCACAGCCAATTGGCCAGCAAGGGCTTCAAGGTAGCGCTCATCGCTACGTTTGGCATCGGCGCCTTTCTCGAGCTGTACTACTACTCGTGGTGCCCCGTCAGCAACTCCTACTATCAGACCAATCTCATGATCTCTCGCGAGATCATCACCACCCTCAACGATCTCAACGCCGCCTACTGGCCTGACTTTGCCACCCTTTTGAACGTCGTCAGGTATGCGCACAGGCCCTTCCAACTACTATCTCGCCTCCCCTCACTCCTTCGATCTTCCCCACGCAGGAACGAGGAAGTGAATCCTTGGGACCACGACGTAGACTTCTCCATGCTCCATCCAGGTACGCTACTCAATAGAGGCCGCGCGGCCATTGTGGCGCCATGCACGAAGGCTAACCACCTTTTGGCACGCTGACAGGGGATGAAAAGCTTGAGGAGCTGCTGGTGATCTTTAGGAAGCATCCCAAGCTCGAGGTGGCTTACTTCCCAGCTAGGTTCGTTCTCTGGCCGATCCTTCCAGCGCGTACCGTTCCATGAACTGACGCTATTGCTCACACTTCCCGCTCTCACGAACAACCAACGACTCAAACAGGGGTCTCATTCAGTTATGGGCACGGGGCAGTGGAGGTCCTTATGGTACGTCGAAAAAACCGTCGAAGTGAGCCCATTGTTCTTTCGGCTCTCCGTTCTCATAAGCATCGCGCGAACTGCAGGTCCGCATGCCGACATCTTCCTTTGGTCTGTCAAGAAACAGGTGGACACCAACGAGAGCTGGATTCTGAACGACGACTACACGCTGCGGTACGTCTGGCACTAGCAACCGTCAGGCCTTCTTCTCCGTGTGCGATATAACGAACTCCATCACTCGCAGAATCACACGAAGGAAATGGGATGAGATCTTTCCTCTTCGGACCGGCTCATGGCTCGGCAAGTACGTTCCTCGTCTCCTCACTCTCTCTGATGTGTTTGAAGCGCATGGGTCTTGGCTGCATTGTTGCTTACCTTGGCACACCAAAGGAATGTAACGGTTCCAAGAGACGCGCACGCACTATGCCGAGCCGAGTATGGCGATGGTACCTATGCATTCCTTCGGCAGCGGAGGATCGCATATGTTGACCCTTGTCGTGATCAAGACTCTCTAAGCCTCTTTCGACCTACCTCACCACCCACCCCGCAGGTTATACCACGCCCCGATTGTACAGACTGGACTGTCTCGAGAACATGCTCCACTTCCGCTTCCTGCCCGTCGCGGAGCCGGCGACGAAGACCGCCTAGGGTTTACCCTTCCACGGAGGACCGACTCATTTATTTATTACTTTTGTGCTTCTTGGTGAGCACCAACTCCATCGGCATCGAGCTCTTGGCATCAGACGAAGGTGGGAACTCTTATTTCTTTTATTTATGATTTTTTTCAAAATGAATTTACTGCAAATAATTGTAATTTGTGTTGTGGGTCTTTTTTTTATTTTTTTTTTTTTGACGAGAGCGAAGAGGATGGGATTGTGCGAGTCGCGAGAGGAAGAGGAGGACGGCGTGCGATTGGCGACAGCCGATACAGACGCTATTGTGCGCTCGCTGGGGGGAGATGGCAAGTGCGTCCTTCTCAAGGTCCTGCTTCTTGGTTCTTCTGGGTATTTGCCCCCCCCCCCGGGCCTCCTTCATTGATGAGTGTAGGCTGCTCAATTTATTTAATGCTCGATTTGATTTACCATCAATTATTAATCATTGAGTGGGAAATCTTGACTGACTTTTCTCGTGCGCTGGTGCAGCGTGGGCAAGACGTCACTCATTGGGCAGTGCGTGCCGCCAACCCTCCCCATCTTTTGCGTGGCACCAGCGCGAGCCTGCATGTGAGCGCACCGGCTGACCCTCACCCGCGCTGCAACTTGCTCGCAGGTACTGCAAAGGAGAGTTCAAAGAGCGCTACAAGTCGACGATCGGCTCCGATTTTGCGACGAAAGACCTCTCCGTGGACGACCGATACGTCACGCTGCAAATATGGGTGCGGACACACCACACCACACCACACCACACATACACATACAGCGGCACTCACATCCTTCTGATTCAGGATACCGCGGGACAAGAGCGATTTCAGAGTCTGGGAGTAGCGTTTTATCGAGGCTCCGACTGCTGCGTGCTTGTACGTATCCTTGTGCGCGTATTGGGTGGTCATGCGCTTCGATGACAGAAGATTGACGCTGACATTCTATGTGGACCCATAGGTGTATGATGTGAACAATCGGGAGGTACGGCACCAACTTAGTTCAAATTGCTTGACGAAGGTGGCTAACTCACTCACCACTCACTTACTCGTCGTTGACGTGGTTCTCTGCCCCAGTCTTTTAAGAATCTGCACCAATGGATGCAGGAGGTAAGCCCCACCATCTCTTGCTCTCTTGGTCTCCTGGCCTTACCCAGAAACGAATTGCGTCGTGTGTCCTCCAGTTTTTGATACACGCAGGCCCGGACGACCCAGAGAAGTTCCCATTCCTCGTGTTGGGCAACAAAGTCGATCTGTGTCGAGCACAGAGCCCAGGCACTCAACCACGCCGTACGCCCTCTTCTCTCGTGCTCTCTCCCTGAAGACAGAAAACTGAGATCACCACCACCAAACCAACAACAGGAAAGCCTGAGGTAAGCGAAGACGAAGCCAAGGAGTGGTGTAAGAAGCACGGCAACATTCCTCATCTCCTTGTCAGGTACACTAAGGTGGTTGGATTGCAGCAGCTTTCCCTCGCCATTTTCTAACCACGAACCAACCGCACACAGCGCGAAAGAGGGGACCAACTTGGACGAGGCCTTCACCCTGCTGGCGGACATCGCCATCCAGCGACTTCACGCCCCTCTGTCCACCGCCGCCTCCAGCGTGCGCAGTCGACATGACAAGGAGGGCGTCTACTCCTCCTCGCCGTGGTGACGCAACGTTCGACACACAACAGGCGGGTCACTTTTTCTGGGATATTTCTCGGTTTTTTGGGCTGGTGGCGCTTGCACCCGCACACGCAGCCTTGCCCACAAGCTCTTACCACTTCACGCCTGACGAGACTCTGATCCTTCTCCCATCCATCTCCTCTCATTCATCCAAGAGCCGCCTCTTTCCTCCAGCCAGCCGCCTCGCCAGCCTCTCCTTCCTTTCTCATCCATTTCCCATTTTTTCGAATTTTCGAAGATTTGAGACGCTACACGAAATCTTGAATCGGTCCCGATTCGCCCATTAGCCTCGAGTAGTCGCATTCCGTCCTTCCTTCCAGCTCCTCCTCCCCCTTGTGATCCATAGATCATGGACCCTACTTCCGTATCTCTGGTGGGTACCCTTCCAGGCATCCCTGCTGTCCAGCCCTCCGTCTCTGCCACCTCCGTTCCGCCTGTTGCTCCCTCATCGGCATCCGCTGCGTCCTCATCCTCATCGGGCAGCACTGCTCTCTTCATCGCCGAAATCCCGCTCGAGGTCACCGAGGCTGAGTTCCGTTCAACCTTCTCCAGCGAGCCCGGCTACATCTCTGCTCGCCTGCGCAGGGATCGCAACGAAAAGTACCATCTACTCCCTTTTCACCCAACGGACACAGCCTTTTTCACCATGTGGCGTTGTATTGTCTGCAACAGCACCGTGGGGTTCGTTGAGTTCAGTGACCATAAGTCGGCCGCTGAAGCGCGCGAGCAGTTCAACAACTTCAAGTTCTCCCACAACGATGACCACGGCATCAGTAAAGCATCCCCATTCTCTTGCTCGCTCTTCTTCTCCCCTCTAACGCCGCCTTGCCATTTATGCAGCGATCCACTTTGCCCATGAGCACTCACGCAACAAGCACCGCGAGCGTGATGATGGCAAGCACTATGGCAGCCAGCACTACGACCAGCCCAGCTCATCGCGTAAAGGTGCCCGCCTCTGGTGTTTTGCAGACGCCACTCCTCGATACTAACGCTTTCGATGGCATCCTGACGAGTCGCAGGCTACAACAATGGCGGCTATCGCCATGACGGCTACGGCAGCATGCGCGCTGCTGATGTGAACAGCCGCGTGAGCCTCACGTCGGGTCTGCCCTTGGTCCCGATGGGCGTGTCTCCCATGATGCCTGGACCCACCAGCCTTGGTACCTCCCTTTCTGTGACGCTTCAGCTCTATCTACATTCCCGGTTCTTTCGCGTATGCCTTGCGAATGTTCGCTAAGCGTGGTCAGCCCTGCATGGTACAGACATGTCCGGCATGCAGTTCTATTCCACCGTGGCGCCCAATGCCCAGTTCGCTTCCTATGTACGCCGCTTCTTTGCCACTTATGCTACCTGCCTTTGGTGGACGAGGCCTTATGTCTTTTTATTGCACTACTACTTGGTACCAGGTCCAACCGCAAGCGTACTCGCCGCAGCTGTCGCCTGACGCCGCGCCTACGCTCTACGTGGAGGGTCTGCCTCTTGACGCCACCGAGCGCGAGGTTGCCCACATCTTCCGTCAGATGCCCGGCTACCTCGGCATCCGCATCAAGCCCAAGGAGTCCAAGCAGCATCCCTCCAGGGTGTTCAACCTGTGCTGGGTCGAGTTTGAGACCAAGTACAATGCTGCCGTTGCCCTGCACCACCTGAAGGTACGGCTTGCGATCGTCCAGTCCCTGTGTGATGGTTCTTCGTAGGCCTAACAAGCGGTACTTACCATCAACAGGGTTACAAGATGGACAAGAACGATACCAAGGGTCTCACCATCTCCTACGCCAAGACCACCCGCAAGGAGCGCCGTGGTCCTTCCATTCATGGCCTCAACGTCATGCCGCTCGACAAGTCCCTCTAAGCTTACCGCCTCGCCCCACCTGCCTCCCCGCCAACGCGTCACCATCCCATCATCGCCACCGCCACCCACACTCTTCTTGCATGCATGTTCTGCTTGTGTATCGCTCATGAAACGTTTGCAACCGCCAACACTCAGACTCTGGCTGTGGCCCGTTTGTTCGATGCGTTGTTGATTGCCACAGCACACGAAGCAGACACACGCACGCACGCGTTCGGCTTCGTCTAGACGTGCTTGGTGGGCACCTTCTTGCGGTTGCCCCTCCGGCCCTTTCGCTCTCTCTTCTTGAGGCCGTCCATGTTGGTCTTGGTCAGCGTCGCAAACGCCAGCTGGAAGCGCACCACGTCCTTCGACCTGCGCGACACACAGGACACACACATGCGCGCGCACACGACACACAGCTATGGGTTAGCGCTCGGCGTGCGGGACGCTACGCGCGCGTAGCGGGGCTCGTGCCTGATGACGGTGCTGATCTTGATGTCCTTTCCGTTCGTCGCTCGCACCAAGCACTTGGGCTCACTGTGCGCACGCACCGCACGACACGACACGGACGCGTGAGCCGAGTCCGGTGTGGAGACTCGGAACGGAACGAAGGGCTGAGCGTACGGATCGGCGGCGTGTTCGGTGCTGGGCTTGGGCTTGGCAGCACCCTTGGCGGCAGTCTTTTCCTTGGGTGGCTTCTCCTCATCTGCGCGATTGCAATCAAGAAGGGGGCGGCGATGAGCCACAACACAAATAATTTGATGTTAGATCTGATCTAAATTGGCGGGAGTGGAGAATTGAATCAAATGCTTGGGCATAAGTCGCTAAGTTGGCGAATCATACAGGTACATGGCGAAATGAAACAAAATGAATAAAATGTTGGGGAGAATTGTACGTCGCTTCATGGTGATCCACACGCTGCCCTTTGTCTTGTTGGCTTGGAACAGCTTCGTGAGCTCATCCATAAAATGTTGGTTCGTAAGCAGCACCATCTTGCTTCTTCTGTTCCAATTGTTTTGCCGTGTTTTGTTGTTATATTCCTTTTTTATTTTTGGCTGACGTGGCGTTGACCACAGCCAGCTCACCACCGTGTTTGGAAGTATCACACCAATGTTTCTCAAGTCTTTATGTACAGTCGTCGAGGTGGGAGGTGGCTTGTTACATGACGAGGCACTTCTTCTTATCGGTACCCCGATTCCGCTTGCCGAGGAGAACGGCCTTTATGGCCTCGTCGAAGGTGTGCTTGAGGTTGTGCCCGGTGATGGCGCTGCATTCGACGTACGTCACGGCCCGCATCTTGCGTGCGCCCGCCTCGGCCTGCTCGACCGACACTGGCGATTGGCCGCGTCGCTTGAGCGCTTCCAAGGTGGTGCCGTCCTGCCGAAGGTCCGACTTGGTGCCCACGAGGATGATTGCCGCCGAAGGGCAGTAGTGACGCAGCTCCGTAAGCCACTTGTCTAAGACGTTGTCGAAGGAAACCGGATCGACGACGGAGAAGCACAGGAGGAAGACGTCGGTGTTTCCGTACGAGAGCGGGCGCAGCCGGTCGAAGTCCTCCTGGCCGGCCGTGTCCCAGAGCGACAGCTCGAGCGACTCACCATTAGCCGAGAGCTGGACTACGAAGTTGTCAAAGATCGTCGGCTCGTAGGTCTTTGGCATGCCGTTGGTGGCGTAGCTCAAGAGCAGGCATGTCTTGCCCACAGCTCCGTCACCCACCACCACAAGCTTGACCTGTCGCGTCGCCATCTGCACTTCTGTTATGTTGTTGTGATGAAATCAGCATACACACACACTCTCCATTTGTACCTTATTAGCTCTTCAGCGCCCTGGGCTTCGTGCTGGTGAGCTTCGGAGAACCACACCTCTTATCGCATTTCGTGGTCTTCTTCGGCTGAATTGACTTTCTTTTCCTGCGTTCGGCGAAAGAGAAAATAAAGGAATAAAAAAAGTTGCTAGGGCTCAGCGGGAAGAAGGGCGCAAGCATTTATCTCGACCGTACTATGACGGCTGCTGCTTCAGCTGCTGCCTTCGTGTAGGCCATCCCTGGGCACCTGGCACGGTGGCCCAGCCATTTTGTGAAACGAAGAAAAAAGGAATAACACCGGCGTAAAAGTGGTATTTTTCTAAATCGTTTTTATTGATTTAATCTCTCCGGCTTCACAATCAGCACAAGATGACAACCCGCCGAGGAAATCCCGCCAAAGGCAACATCCCTTCGTCTCAATTTCTCTTCTCACATCGTCTTGCTCGTGTCATTTTCGCCCCATTCATAACTTTAATCTCAAATCGCGCCCTGCGCTGATATTGAAACGACTTAATTTCAAACAATTGCAGGCGCTCCGTGCCATCAGAACAGGGTCGCGTTCAAGCACAACAAAAACAGCAAGAAAACCATCAACATCCTCGCGTACACGCCCCGCTCAATCGTCTGCCACCAAGATTTCAATTCCTATTTTATTTTATTTTTTGTCATTTATTGATTATTTCTTTTGTTGTTGATATTTATCAGGCTGCCCAACGAAGGCCTGTGCCCGCGGTGCCACGATATCATTGAGTGGAAGAAGAAGTACCGCAAGTACAAGCCTCTCACCACACCCAAGCGCTGGTACCACTTCCACTTGTCGCCTGCTCCGCCAAGGAGCGTTGAACAAAAGACCAACCAACTCCCTTTCTCACTATCACTTCTTCTTGTTTGCATCGATGCACAGCACCAAGTGCCAGGAGAAGACGGTCAAGCGAGCCTACCACACCATATGCGACGGCTGTGCACGCAAAACGAAAGTATGCGCCAAATGCCAGCAGTCCAGAGAGCTCGTCAAGTTCGTCCTCCATCATCATCACCATCATCACCATCATCACCATCTCTCTGCACATCAACACGGCCGGTTAGGGTTTCGTTCTCACGTTGTGTTGTGTCGTGTGTGTCGTGTGTCGTGTGTCGTGTGTCGTGTGTCGTGTGTCGTGTGTCGTGTGTCGTGTGTCGTGTGTCGTGCAGTGAATTGAAGGATCCGGGACAGGACGAAAGGGAAGAGAGGGAGTACGAGGAAGCGCTGTCGCTCCTCTCCGAACGACAACGACGAGCCTACTTCCGCCGCAAGGAGAAGGGTAAGCTACACATGTGCCTCAGTGTGCACACTTTGGTCTTTCGCCACCGCTCATCGTCATCACCTTCTTCTTCATCATCATCGCTAGGTCAACCGGTGGACGACATTCTGGAAGCGGCGTCGAAGGCGCTCAAGGAGAACCGCGACGAATTCGACTTTGATATGGGCAGCGACGACGATGACGAAGATGGCGATGACGACGAGGACGATGATGACGACGACGATGGCGAGGAGTAAGCCTATCGACGTGTACACCAACGCGACATCTCCAAACTTATATTCATTCATTCATTCCATCTTTACACACGTGCCTGCCTTCATTCACATTCATGCCTTCAGCTTGAGCCATGGCTTTCTTTCATGTGGACGACGGGGGCTGCAGGTAGCGGAAGGTGAGGTTGACCCGGCCCGTCTTGACGCTCTTGTCCTTGGGGATCGAGTGCAGGTACCGCCGCTGGCATCGCTTCCACATCACCAGCAGGCTCCCCCTCTCCAGCTCAATCCCGTACCGCGTTCTGTCCTCCTCTCCACCTTCAGCTTCATCTTCTACTTCGCCCTTTTCTTTTTCTTTTCCTTCTCCTTCTCCTTCTTCTCTTTCGCCTTTTCTACGCCGCTGGCTGCGGGTGAAGAGGAAGGTGCGCGGGCAGCCGAGGCTGATCGAGGCGATGGGCGTCGCGGCGTCGGCCTCCTCCTTGTCGGCGTGGAACCCGATGCCCTCCTTGCCCGTCGCGTAGTAGTTGCACAGGCACACGTTGAACCGAAGGCGCCCGCCCAGGGCCGCAGCCACCTCGCCGCCGTAGTGGGCGGCGTCGATGGCCTCGACCGCGGCCTCGGCCCGGGTCTTGATGTCCAGCAGCTCGGGGGTCCAGGCCAGCGGTGTGCGGTCCTCGCTGGTGTAGACCCCGTAGGCCGGGCCGTATGCGTATTCGACCCCGGCGTCGCCGTAGAGGGCCGTGGCGCGGTTCTCGAAGACCCTCTTCTTCCACGCCAGCGATCCGAGGAGGGCGTCGTAGGCCGCGTCGGCCTTGGGCACCAGGGAGCGCGTGTAGAACACGTCGGCCAGGTCCAGCTGCAGCTTCACCGCGACACCAGCAGATGTCTCTGTACCAGGATCAGGCAGGGCCAGCATCACCTCCCGAGGTTTTCCAATCGCCACTCCTTCCTCCTTCTTCTTCTGCAGGGCCTTATCGTCTTCCATCTCTTCTTGATGTCATTGACACTAAAATGGCCCTATCTCAGTCCCTTGTGTTTCCATGTTGAGAAAAAACTTCACCAAACAATAAACAACCCATTTTTTGTGGCTGAACACTGAGCGCACGTCTTCTTAGGTGGGCAGCACGTCGCCGTTGGCGGGGCACTCGATCGGCTCGCCCGGCACCCATACGGTCTGCTTGTCCTGCTCGATGATGTTGTTCCACAGGCCCACGGCAGCTGCCTGGTGCGCTTTCTCTGTGGTACATCAACAACACCACTGACCAGTTCAGCGTCGTCGAGCGCACCCAGTGACCACCCATTACAAGGAGTTCGTTGAGGGCCATTGTACCCGAGAAGTGGAAGCAGTCGGGCGCAAGGTAGGAGGTGTCGGGCTTGCCATCAGAGCCGGTGGGAATCTGGGTGTCTTCGAGGAACGGCTGCACCACCACCGCAAAGTCCTCCCTGGCCTTGTACTTGTCCAGGCCCGCCACACGCTTCAGCTCCTCAAAGTAGCCCCCGTGCGCCTGCACACACCGCCAATTGCCACGCCACA